TACTCATGATAATGGAAGAAAAACTAAAGAATTGCATTAAGTACATCACTGGGTTTTGAATTGAGATGTAGAAAAGATGATGAATCTTGCACCAAGTTTCTCTTCTCGTTCCAAATATTGATTCAAACTTTTGAATTGTTGTTTTTCTCATCTTGAATTTGCTCTCTAATACTCAAGTTGTGTTCTCTATCTCTCAATGTGTAGAATCCTTTTAAAAGTATGGAAACTTGTATTTATAGCTGCATCCTCATTTATGTCAAAAGTAGGGTTTTATGGATTTCAAAAGGGGCAAAAAATGGGCCCTAGATTTACCTATGCAGTATTGTGGCATCGTAATGCCGCGACTTTGGATGAAAGTCTACTGCACTTCCTTTAGTATTTTTACCGTAACTTTCCCTCTTGATATTTGATTGAGGTGATTCAAGTTGGATTGTAAAGATAACTCAAAGGGATATAACTCTGTCTTATAGCCTTTTTTGAATTCGAATGCTACTAGGGTAAAAATGGGTTTCAATTTTGAGCTGAAAATTTGGAGCGTCATAGTGCGGTTGAAAATTGATTTGTGAATATATTTTGGTCGTATTTCATTCCTATTGACATCTAATTACATCTAATTGACTCTTAGCATTCTTGAATCTTCATCATGAGGTTCGACATAACTTTTGAATATTTACACTTTAGTCCCCAAGCTTTGAATCTTGCCCCATTTTGCCAATTTTCACTTCTTTCTTTCAATTCTCTTTCCTTTCATGGAGTTTCATCTAATAAAAAAAATATGTTGTAAATTAAGCAACAATTGTTCAAAAAAATAAAAATAAAAATAATATTAAATGTTTATATTTTTAGGTACAAATAAGTGTAAAAAATATAGCAAACACCCACAAACTTGTCATCAAACAAAACCATAACCTAATTTAACGAACATACGAACACGCAAAAGGTTTTGGTTAGATAACCTGCCATTTTGTCTCAAGATTGGATGCACAAAAAGATTAATTTTGATTTTAAGTAATGCACGGATATTAGAGAAGAACAATTTCACCTATTGATCACCTTTAAGTCTCAATTCATGATTCACAAGTCTAATGTAATGTTCAATTGAAATTTTCTATTATATTCAATTTACCACTCTCGAGTTTTCATTGGGCCTATTTAACTAACTTAATTCCATATCTCTATACAAATCAAACCTAGTTAAATGAAATATTAGTTTTATAAATTCATACAATGACCGCAATAATCAGTATAGGTATCTCTACATGTTACACTCATTTACCGGATTTTAATCTGTGCTCTAAACCTAAAACTCACCTCTCGATTCGTAATGGATTTACGAAATTATTGAATAATTGGTCAAAGAATTCAAAGCATTAAGTACATAATTAAAACCAACACATATGCATTCAAAGAGCTTGGATCTTGAATAAAAGAAATAAAATGTCTCAAAAGATTACAATGTTTGGCCTAATATAAATTTAGCTACTCAAGATAATGGAAGAAAAACTAAAGAATTGCATTGAGTACATCGTCGAGGTTTTGCATTGAGATATAGAAATGATGATGAATCTTGCCTCAAGTTCCTCTTCTCGTTCAAAATCTTGATTTCAAACCCTTGAATTATTTCTTCTCCTCTTGAATTTGCTCTCTAATTATCAAGTTGTGTTCTCTAGTTCTCAATGTGCGAAATTCCTTCAAAAGTGTGCTAACTTATTTTTATAATTGCATCCTCGTTTATGTCGAAAGTAGGGTTTTTATGGATTTGAAAACGCCCCAAAAAATGCCCTAGATGTATCCAGGTGGTACCTCGGCACCATAGGAGTGGCGCCGCGGCTCCGTTTTTTATGAAAGTTAGACTGCATTTCCTTTAGTATTTTTATCATAATTTTTCCTTTTGATATTTGATAGAGGCAATTCAAGTTGGGTTGTAAAGATAACTCAAAGAGCTACAACTTTTTTTTAAATAACCTTTTTCTAATTCGAATATTTATTGGGGTAAAAATAGGTTTCAATCTTGAGCGAAAAATCTGGAGCGTCTCGGTACAATTGAAAATTGATTTGTACAAATATTTTGATCGTACTTCATTTCTTTTGACATCTAATTGCATCCAATTGACTTCTAGCATTCTAGAATCTTCATCATGAGGTTCGACACAACATCTATTTATTACACTTTAATCCCCAAACTTTGGATCTTGACCCTCTTTTTGTCTATTTTCACTTCTTTATTTCAATTCCACTTCCATTCATCATTTTTCACCTAATAAACAAAATATACAATAAATTAAGCTGTAATTGTTCAAAAGAATTATTAAATATCAATATTTTTAGATCCAGATAAGTGTACAAAGTACAATTATCAAACACCCCAAACTTGTCCCCAAGCAAAACCATAACATAACTTAACGAACGCACAACACATGCAAATTTTTTTTGCTAGATAACCTGCCATTTTGTCTCAGGATTGAAATATTTGTATCAAATTTATAATCAACTTCAATATTGCATTACTAAAGTCAATATCTACTTTGCCAATGCAAAATTGATGTGTGTGTGTATGTTAAGAATAGGGTTGGCAGCGGTTTGGTTAAAACCATCACTGAATCATCATATTTTGGCCATACCATAATCACACTATAACCACGTAAGTTAGTTCGGTCCGGCTCGATTTGTATCTCGATTCGGTTGGTTAATAACCATGAAAATAAATTATTTTTTATAGGTCTACCTGTCAAATTGGAAAAAACAATTTATGGAAAAAGAATTCAATTAAAACAATACATAAAATAATACAAATAGGAGGGGAAAATGCCAAATAAAGACTAGTTAATAAATTATGATATTTCAAGTCATTTTTAATTTATAGTTTCTGAGACACCAGGGCAAGCAGTGACGCCACGGCTCGAGAACATAACTAAATCTACCGAACAGTTTACCTCACCGCAACAACAGATTGATCTACTTTAACACAACAAAGTAATTGACCCATTTTTCACACCTATAAACACAACAAGCTTATTAACATAAATTGAGACATTTAAAAACTCAATTAAAGAAAAGAATAGTTCTTCATTAGGCTTGTAATTGGATAATTTTCAAGCAATGGCAAATCGTACCCTACTACTCTTCCTACCTAGAATCTCGCAAAATGCGACAAAGAACAATTATGCCCCCATTTGGCCCCCATTCTCCTTCTCATCCTTTTCCCTCTCTCTTATTTTCAGTCACACAATTTTCTATAAAATAATATTACACCCAAATAAAAAAGTTTTCATTTTTTTCAACCACACATTTTTCCAAAAAATATTATTCAAACTATTAAAATTTGAAAAGAATGGGGGCCAAATGGGGGCTATATTCTCAACAGATGTTGCTCAAAGATAGTAAAACTAAGAAAATGGGTAATTAGCACAAAACGTCCTTATCTTTTGATATTTTTGTAAAAATTGTCCATACCTTTCATTTTTTGGTGGATTACATCCTAACATTTACCTTTTTTTTTGGCAAAATGTCATTCTATCAACTTCTTGTTAAAATGCTTCGTTAAATCAAAGGGTAATTAGCACAAAATGTTCATATCTTTCAATATTATTGTGCAAAACGTTCGTATCTTCCTTTTTTGGGCATAATTATCACAAAAAATCCCTACCTTTCAATGTTATTGTGCAAAACGTCCCTACCTTTCATTTTTTAGTATTTTCACCCCTACCTTTTATTTTTCATTGTGTAAAAGATCATTTTCATCCATTTTTAATAAAATGACGATTTTACTCTCCTATTCAAATAAAACAAAAAGAAAAGATGAATTACCAACTGTAACCATAATCCCTAAATTTTTAAAAAATTACAAAGAAATCATAAATTCTCAACCACCATCACTTTCACAACCTATTAAGCTGCCAACTATAAATCCACATAACACCACCTTTTGGCTACCATGCCCACCGGACTCCACCCACGTAAATGTGGTTGTTTTGAACACATTGGTGAGCAATACTATGGGAGAGGATATTGGGAGAGTGAGGCGAGGTTGGTGGTGGTGTAGTTCGATAGGTGTTGTGGCCGAAAGGTGGTGCTATGTAGCTCTATAGGTGGTGGTTTGGTGGGGTTGTGAAAGTGGCGGTAGTGGAGAATTTATGATTTATCTGTAATGTTTTGAAAGATTTAGGACTATAATTGCAATTAATTAATTATTTTTCTTTTCTTTTCTTTTTGTTTTATTTGAATAGGAGAGTAAAATCGCCATTTTATTGAAAAATAGATGAAAAGGATCTTATGCGCAATGAAAGATGAAAGGTAGGAGTGAAAATGCTAAAAAATAAAAAATAGGGACGTTTTGCACAATAACATTGAACGGTAGGGATCTGTTGTGCTAATTATCCTTTGATTTAACGGACCATTTTAATGGGGAGTTGACAGAAGGACGTTCTGCGCAAAAAAGGTAAAGGTGAGGATGCAATCCGTCAAAAAATGAAAGGTAGAGACGTTTTCCACAAAAACATCGAAAGGTAGAGACGTTTTGTGCTAACTACCCCTAAGAAAATCATTAAGTTCTAGAAATATTCACATGTAAAATATTGCATTACATAAGAAAATAAGTATGACAACAAATTAATATGTACTAAATTTATCACAATATCATCAATTTAAACCCAAAAATAAAAATAACATTTCATCAGATACTCAAACTCAATAAAATATATATATAAAGCAACAGCAAATTGTAAACTGATGGTGAGCAGCTAAAGAACATGATGTGATAAAGAAGAAAAAATTGGGAACGACAGAGTCGCAGACGAATATTGTTGAAAGTTGATTTCAATTTTCCAATGTCCATATATGTTTGTAGTGGGGTTATTGGGTTAAGTTATTATCTTATTGGATTTAATTTTTAACGGGCTTGTAATGAACCAGAAATTTTGGACTAGACAAATTATCATAGAAAAAATACTAGAATGCCCAATTGCCTAATTCTTATTATTTTTCTAGCAGATAGTCGGTTAAGAGCGAAACGACGAAGTAAATTCCATACTTGTCCCACTTCAAATCTGGGTATTATTAAAATTAAATACCATAAACACGATCGTTCGAATTGCTATCCTACGGGAATTGAACGAGCGAGCTGTAAAATCTAGTACACTTCGGCACTTTAGCCTGAAACCTAACCTTTCGGAATCTTGAAGTATGACAGTACGATTCCTAACCAGAAAGTACAGACCCGGACCCGGAATCCTTTGGGGTCTCGTAACCAGGTTGACCCGCCGATGGATGACCTCCACTAACAAAACAACAGTGATGAGTTTCGGGGACGGATCCCACGGGGCATTGGGCCTCCCCATGTCCCAAACTGGTCCGGGCTTCGACGCCTATGAGCCCACTCCAGTCTCAGGTCTTCCCCCATACGTCTCCACCATATCCGCCGGCCACTATCACTCCCTCGCCGTCACTTCTGAGGGCCATGTCTGGGCCTGGGGCCGTAACTACGAGGCACAGCTTGGCCGGGGTTCACTTTCTCCAAGGTTGATCTCTTGATCCTCCTAGTATGAATTTAAAGTCTGTTAAGTAATTATGGATATTTAGGAAATTGAGATGACAAATTATGTTACTTATTCAGGTTGATGTTATAATTTGTAATATTGGGAACCTTGTCGATTTTCATTTTTAATTTTTGTAATCTCATTTGAGAAAGTAATTGGAAACTGAGAAGAGTTGAACTTGGTTGCCTTTTGCTAATTGCTAATCGCCTGCTAAAATGTTATAATTTGACATCTTTATAAGGATTTTATTTTATTTATTTTTTTGGAGAAATGGAGAAGGTCGGCTGTGGGTTGAGCTGACCACGAAAATGTGATTGAGAAATTAGTTTGAATTTAAATTCGAACTAAAACTTCTAAGGACAAACCTTAACCTCCCATAAATTTGTAGTCAATTCAAAATGGAAAAATTATTCATGCAAATTCGTGCATGAAATTCAACCAAATATGGAAAGGGCTTAAACCATGATCTACTACAGAAATCTCTCAAAATTAGGCACTTGGATTTTTGACGATGAACTCCTTCTATTGTGATTTGAGTTCTAGGTCATTGGAGGCCGTCTAAATTCTAAAATGATGAATTCAAGAATTGAAAAGCAACATGCTATAAATAATTAACTGTTTTAATAAGCTGTTAGTGTATATACGTAGTGAGTTGATTGCAATCTGACTCTTTAGAGTTTAACCTCAGTGGTGGAGTGGAATGTGCTTGGTGTCATTATTTGATTAAAAAAACTATAATCTCATAACTTGCATACTCCCTGATGCTATATGCCATAAATTTGATTCAGAGAGACATGGAATGAACCACAGAAAGTACAAGGATTGAGTCAAGTGAAAGTTCGAGCTGCATTTGCATCTGGTGTCATATCTGCTGCAATTGGAGATGATGGTTCTTTATGGGTATGGGGAAAGTCAAAACGAGGGCAACTAGGGCTCGGAAAAGATATCACAGAGGCTGTTTTACCTTCTAGAGTTGAAGCTCTTACTGAAGAAGATATAATTAAGGTGGTCCCTATATCATGGTTAAGGTAGAAAGATATTAGTAGTTAATGGTGTCATTTTTGTACAAAATTAAATATAGATTATGGGCATGGGCTCTTGCATGTTTTCTGTCATTTTTCTGATAGGATGCAATCATAAAATTTATGTATATGGTATGGCAGGTGTCACTTGGTTGGGGACATGCTCTGGCACTGACTAAAGATGGAAAGTTGTTCGGATGGGGTTATTATGCGGATGGTAGATTAGGGAAGATTGGGGAATTTTTTGAAACTTCTCCTCTAGATTCAGTTGCTTCTAAAGTAGAGTCGAGTGGTGAAAATTCCGGTTCAATGACTGAAGCTGCTGAGGGATTGATCTTCGAAGCAATTGAGAAGGAAAAGAACATGCCAATTGCTTGGGAACCTACTTCAATTAAAGAATTAGGTGATGTTAAATTTGTAGATATGGCATGTGGGCTTGATCATTCCCTAGTTCTCGACTGTAAGCCATAGTTATAACTTATAAGTATTCGCATGCTTCTGATGCTATAATATAAGTTAATTCTCCCTCCATTTTTCTATTTGCAGCTGATGGAACTCTTTTAAGCGGAGGGAGCAATGCGTATGGCCAGTTAGGTAGGGTAAACCAAGATTTGGGGTTGCTTCCTGTCGATATGAGCTTTATACCTGTCAACATAGCATCTGGACTAGGGCATTCTCTGGCAATTTGCAACGATACATCTTCAGACAGTGTAGACGGATTAAGGGTTGTTACATGGGGATGGAACCAGAGTTATCAACTTGGAAGGAAAGGTCCTCAGAGTGTCCCTCTGGTGGTTGAGGGGTTGTCGGGTGAGACACCTGTTTCATTATCAGGAGGACGGGTGCATTCTTTAGCTGTAACTGCTAAAAACGAGATTTGGACGTGGGGCTGCGGGAGAAATGGCAGACTTGGATTGGGTAGCTCCGCTGATGAAGTCGAACCGATGTTGGTGGAATGCTTGGAAGGATCCCAAGTTTTGCAAGCTGTTGCGGGATTTGATCATAATCTGGTTCTGATTGCTGAATGATGTAACCTTAAATCCTCCATACTTGTCCCACTTCAAATCTGGGTATTATTAAAATTAAATACCATAAACACGATCGTTCGAATTGCTATCCTACGGGAATTGAACGAGCGAGCTGTAAAATCTAGTACACTTCGGCACTTTAGCCTGAAACCTAACCTTTCGGAATCTTGAAGTATGACGGTACGATTCCTAACCAGAAAGTACAGACCCGGACCCGGAATCCTTTGGGGTCTCGTAACCAGGTTGACCCGCCGATGGATGACCTCCACTAACAAAACAACAGTGATGAGTTTCGGGGACGGATCCCACGGGGCATTGGGCCTCCCCATGTCCCAAACTGGTCCGGGCTTCGACGCCTATGAGCCCACTCCAGTCTCAGGTCTTCCCCCATACGTCTCCACCATATCCGCCGGCCACTATCACTCCCTCGCCGTCACTTCTGAGGGCCATGTCTGGGCCTGGGGCCGTAACTACGAGGCACAGCTTGGCCGGGGTTCACTTTCTCCAAGGTTGATCTCTTGATCCTCCTAGTATGAATTTAAAGTCTGTTAAGTAATTATGGATATTTAGGAAATTGAGATGACAAATTATGTTACTTATTCAGGTTGATGTTATAATTTGTAATATTGGGAACCTTGTCGATTTTCATTTTTAATTTTTGTAATCTCATTTGAGAAAGTAATTGGAAACTGAGAAGAGTTGAACTTGGTTGCCTTTTGCTAATTGCTAATCGCCTGCTAAAATGTTATAATTTGACATCTTTATAAGGATTTTATTTTATTTATTTTTTTGGAGAAATGGAGAAGGTCGGCTGTGGGTTGAGCTGACCACGAAAATGTGATTGAGAAATTAGTTTGAATTTAAATTCGAACTAAAACTTCTAAGGACAAACCTTAACCTCCCATAAATTTGTAGTCAATTCAAAATGGAAAAATTATTCATGCAAATTCGTGCATGAAATTCAACCAAATATGGAAAGGGCTTAAACCATGATCTACTACAGAAATCTCTCAAAATTAGGCACTTGGATTTTTGACGATGAACTCCTTCTATTGTGATTTGAGTTCTAGGTCATTGGAGGCCGTCTAAATTCTAAAATGATGAATTCAAGAATTGAAAAGCAACATGCTATAAATAATTAACTGTTTTAATAAGCTGTTAGTGTATATACGTAGTGAGTTGATTGCAATCTGACTCTTTAGAGTTTAACCTCAGTGGTGGAGTGGAATGTGCTTGGTGTCATTATTTGATTAAAAAAACTATAATCTCATAACTTGCATACTCCCTGATGCTATATGCCATAAATTTGATTCAGAGAGACATGGAATGAACCACAGAAAGTACAAGGATTGAGTCAAGTGAAAGTTCGAGCTGCATTTGCATCTGGTGTCATATCTGCTGCAATTGGAGATGATGGTTCTTTATGGGTATGGGGAAAGTCAAAACGAGGGCAACTAGGGCTCGGAAAAGATATCACAGAGGCTGTTTTACCTTCTAGAGTTGAAGCTCTTACTGAAGAAGATATAATTAAGGTGGTCCCTATGTCATGGTTAAGGTAGAAAGATATTAGTAGTTAATGGTGTCATTTTTGTACAAAATTAAATATAGATTATGGGCATGGGCTCTTGCATGTTTTCTGTCATTTTTCTGATAGGATGCAATCATAAAATTTACGTATATGGTATGGCAGGTGTCACTTGGTTGGGGACATGCTCTGGCACTGACTAAAGATGGGAAGTTGTTCGGATGGGGTTATTATGCAGATGGTAGATTAGGGAAGATTGGGGAGTTTTTTGAAACTTCTCCTCTAGATTCAGTTGCTTCTAAAGTAGAGTCGAGTGGTGAAAATTCCGGTTCAATGACTGGAGCTGCTGAGGGATTGGTCTTCGAAGCAATTGAGAAGGAAAAGAACATGCCAATTGCTTGGGAACCTACTTCAATTAAAGAATTAGGTGATGTTAAATTTGTAGATATGGCATGTGGGCTTGATCATTCCCTAGTTCTCGACTGTAAGCCATAGTTATAACTTATAAGTATTCGCATGCTTCTGATGCTATAATATAAGTTAATTCTCCCTCCATTTTTCTATTTGCAGCTGATGGAACTCTTTTAAGCGGAGGGAGCAATGCGTATGGCCAGTTAGGTAGGGTAAACCAAGATTTGGGGTTGCTTCCTGTCGATATGAGCTTTATACCTGTCAACATAGCATCTGGACTAGGGCATTCTCTGGCAATTTGCAATGATACATCTTCAGACAGTGTAGACGGATTAAGGGTTGTTACATGGGGATGGAACCAGAGTTATCAACTTGGAAGGAAAGGTCCTCAGAGTGTCCCTCTGGTGGTTGAGGGGTTGTCGGGTGAGACACCTGTTTCATTATCAGGAGGACGGGTGCATTCTTTAGCTGTAACTGCTAAAAACGAGATTTGGACGTGGGGCTGTGGGAGAAATGGCAGACTTGGATTGGGTAGCTCCGCTGATGAAGTCGAACCGATGTTGGTGGAATGCTTGGAAGGATCCCAAGTTTTGCAAGCTGTTTCGGGATTTGATCATAATCTGGTTCTGATTGCTGAATGATGTAACCTTAAATCCTCTACATTTCCTTAATATATAAAGTAGAGGTTAAGCCCCATTTGATTCCCATTCTTTGGCTACAAAAATGAAAAATATGACTATTATTCATCATATCCAACCACCATATTTGACTTTCTATTTCTTGTGTGGTCCTATAACGATTATATTTTCCATTTTTATTTTTACAAAAATGGGTACCAAATGGGGCTTAAATATTTACTTTTAGAAACTAATTTGGTAACTGCTCTGGGCAAGTTTCATATTGTACTTGACTTGAGAACCCTTTAATTCTACATTTCCATTTACAGCAATTTGTACACTCCTCTAATAAATGAGATAGATTACAAAAATGATATTTTATCCTTGACAAAGTTTAGCCCGTTGTTTGGTGGCAATTCCTTCTTTTATTTTTTATTTTTTTAAATAAGAGTTTTGAAGAGTGTTTTTGGAGAATGTGTGGTAAAAAAGTAGGAAAAAATTTTGAATTTACGCGTAAAATATTTCATTGAAAATGATCTTGTAAAAAAAAAAAAAGAGTTTAAAAAGATCTGCTATAGAAATTCAGACCTTAGAGAATTCAAATCTTCAAAGAAAATAACTATGATTCTGTACAGATCTTAACCAAAAAACTGCATGCTGAATACGAAAATCATCAAGGGTAAAGGTGTAATTGAACAAGAAGCTAACAATTGCAAGGACCGATCAAGTGAATGTTTCTCTAATTAGATTGAGAGCACTTTTCTCTAACTCCTTTGACTTTCTAAGAGTTTCTTTTAATTTGAATTCTTAATGGCATCAAACGCTCCTGAGTCATACACAATTTTTAACCTTTAGTGAAAATTCCTGATTTTAAGATAACCTTATCAAGATATAGTAAAAATGCAGGTAGCTGTAGCTCATTCGAGTTTATATTGTTCAATTTCTAGAATTTCTCCATACTTCTTGAGATCATTTGGTTTAATCTATGTGTTTGAGTTTTGAGAAAGAATAATTCAAAATTTCACAATTCCACATTTTTCTGCGGTATACAATCGAGATGGATAGAATTCTACCGTTTTTGTTGAATACATTAGAATTTAAGTTTGTACAATCTAACTAGCTATTCAATGAGCTAAATTATATTTTACAATGAAGAGAACAAGAAGTTTCTACCTTTTCCTTTCCCAATTAACATTGCCATGTTTTCCACTAGCTACTTAGAGTTGGTAGAATCCAAAACATAGCCCTGCCTTTTGAGACAAATCTTGTCTCGAGCTTACTTCCAAGAAGTATGCTACACGAGACGCTGCTTTAAGAAGAATACAAAAAATTCAAGATGGCTTGCATCAGAAGTATCCATAGTATTAAAAGAGTCACTGTGCTCTCAGCAGTAAAAGATGCATCATCTGAGCTTTGTAAAAGGAGACCAATCACTAGATGTAGAATCTGAGTATTCCGTCACGTGAGTTTTTACAACTCAAATTCCTCCATTTCTATTTTCTTGCTTAAGAATTCCACCGTAGTTGGGGTTGGACATCCACACTAGAGAAGGTTTGGAGCAGACAAAATCGTAACTTCACTTTGTTCTCGCACCAAAGACTTCTGAGATTTGGATGGCCAGTACTAAATCATAGGAGTTTGATATCGAGCGGTTTTCCTTGGACAAGCTGATAAGTGCAATTTGTGCACTTATTTAGGTTATATTGCTAAATTTTTATGTTGTCAAATTATTGATTTCTACTTAACTGGGTTATTATTATTATTATGGGCTCTCTCTCTCTCTCTCAAAAAGTGGATGAAAAAGAGGTTTATTGATATATTTAAAAGTCTCTCTCCCTCTAATATCAGTGATGTGACGATAAATTAAGTTATTAATTTATTAATATTATATCATATAATTAATGTTAAATATTGTACTTATAACCTGATTTGTGAAATCATAAAGTTAAACTCTGATTATTGAATTTGAAAGTTAAAAAATAGGGGTTGTAATTTCCTCTCTTATCAGCCTAAAAATACAAATCTATATAACCCACTAGAATAAGATTTTTGAAACACATTAATATAAGAATGAAAATGAAAAATATAGTCATTATGAGCCCCACACAGGAGATATATTTTCAAATATGATGGTTTGATATGATGGATAATGGCCATATTCTTCATTTTAATGAGTAAATAATGGAAAACAAACAGGGCTTAATAAAGAGTAAATTAGTATATAGTTCCTTATTCTCTGAATGTACTTGATATGTTTTACAGTCATCCAATGTTCTGATCTAAAATTAGATTGACTTTGACTCACCATACTAACAATAAAATAAATGTCAAGTCTACTTTGAATCATAGCATAATGAGACTACCTACAGCCGATGAGTAAGATATCCTACTTGCTCTATCTCTTTAGGAAATTTAAGGATTTCTCCTTAGAGTTGGAATTTTGGTTTGAAGGC